TATCATCCTTCAAGGTGTCTAGTCCGCTTTAGACTAGTCATACAGACAAGCCATAGTCCCCATGATTGTGCAGGGGACTCAGGATTTGAAAAGTCTTTAGAAGATCATTGTCCACTCCAACTTGAATTTTAGACTTTAGGAACCATGCTGCTAAAGCTTATGAGATGGAAAACCTAGAAGTTCATGTAAGGTTAGAAAGTAGATAAATTACATAAATTATAAAAGAGCCAGACACATGCCTGTAATCCCAGTATTCAGGAGGACTGTGAGTTTGAGGCCAGCCTGAAAGCACTCATCCCAGAACACATGGACACAGTCACATACAGGAAAAGCAGTTTATTGCCAGCTGAGGCTGACAAGACCACCTTCTCCATGGAAGAGAGAAATGGCGCTCGTTCTCTGTTCAGGGTCAAATTTATAGTCAGGGGCTAGGGGTAAAACAGCTCTGGGAAGTGGAGTGAGAGAAGCGGCCAGGCCAGGCCAGATCCAGTGGTTTTGTAGGAGCGGCCAAGGACCTGAGATGGAGGTTACATTCTGAGTTTCAGGCCAGCTTGGGCTACACAGCAAAATCTTGTCTCGAAATAAAAAGTCAAATGCCAAAATGTTACCTTTGTTCAAAAGTTAACATATCATTTGAGCCATTAGGAAGTAAATCAGTAAGAGCCAATCTCTACCCAAGTGCCTGTTCACTTTGGACTGTGGGCTCTACACGTGGAGAACAATCCATTTGCTAAGGAGCCGTGCCATCAAAGTATACCTGGCCCTTCTGGAGTCCCCATGGTACAGTAGGACCTAAGCTTACTCTGTGGTTGTGTCATTTAGAATGTGGTCACTAATAGAGAAGGCATTGGTTAGATCTAATGAAAGTTCAAGCTGTTCATGGTTACAGGATCTCTCCAGAATAAACACTTCTTTTTTCAAACTCAGACACCCATAGCTCTCTATGCAATAATCAGTACTTGGAAAGTATCAGATTTGATAGAGTTCAAACTCAAGAGCTAGGTAAATTTATAAAGTTCTGAAAGAATAGTACTACATGATTATGAAGCCACTCAAAATTCTATTATTAAGGAACTGAGAACAAAGAATCAACAAAAATCTTAAGGACAAGCATTTTAAGACAGTTCTGAGGGTCCCTCTGAAGCATCTCCAGAAGTTGGGGTAGCGGGTAGCCCAGTACTCTTTGTGTAGAAAAACTGCTCCTTTTCCGACTCTGCTACATGTTTCTAATGGAAGCTACCAGTGAAAAGAATCTTGTCCATTCTAGATCACTTACTTGTGAGGGAACATTAAGCTAATTAACATTAACATCATGTCTTCAGGTTTCTGACCTATAAGAAATAAAAGGTCAAGCTGGGAGCCAGTGGCTCATGTCTGCAATCCTAGCTACCCATAAGGCTGAGGTCTGAGAACTGAGGTTCAAAGCCAGCCAGGGCAGAAAAGTTCCCATGAGACTCCAATAAACTACTCAAAGGAGCCAGAAGTGGCCCTATGGCTCAAGAGGTAGAGTGTTAGCCTTGACCATAAAGAGGCTTAGGGACAGTGCTCAAGCTCTTGAGTTCAAGCCCCAGGACCAGCACCAAAACAACAACAACAACAAAAAACCCAACAGATTGAAAGAGAGGAAGAGGGGTGATTTCCCGAGGATGGAAATTGTGGGATGTGATACCTGAGGATATTTTCTATAATATGGGGAAAAAAATTAGTGCGAGTCCCTGGTGTGGGTTGTCGCTGAGGCCCAGCTTCACCGTGGCCTGTCCATGGACAAATGACATAGGCCCACCCCAGTGTCCTTCCATTAAACTTTGTTCTGACTATTGCACTTGATTTCTTTAACAGACAACCAAACATCTTTTTTTTTGCCCAGACATTTGGAGGCCTGAGGACAGAGTTGTGTTGTTCTCAGGCTGGGTAAGCATGAGTGTGTTCACAGAAAGTTGAATTATGAAATCTAGGCCATGTCGAGAAAGGGACTAGCAGAGGCTCTACAAAGTGTAGTAAGACAGATGAGACATGGTGGTGGAAGAGATTGAAGTTTAGTCTTTCACAGGTAGAGCAAAAGGCTGAGCCTTCCCTGAGAATTGGGGGTGTTCTAGAAGAGAGGGGAGGAAGTAGATGAACAAGGGCTTCCAGTGGTATTAAGGAAGTCTAGTATCTGGACAGGGTCTTAGAAGAAGCTGGGGTGAGGTTACTTTGGTTTCTTACACTTCTCAGGAAATTCTTATACTGCTTTTTTTTTATGAAGAACATAACGCAAGTACATGCTAAATTATCAGCAGAACATTTTGAGGTGAAGCCGTGGGATAGGGTAGAAAGTCTAGGCTAACAGAGACTATGAGGTCCAGGAGAGGAGGTGACAGGCTTCCTAGTGCTGCTTTGTCCCAAGTATATTGTTAAATCCCACCACATGCTCCTTAATCAGCTGCCACCAGGAGCAAGGCAGTAAAGGAGACCAGACCACCACAGAACTGAGGTTTGGGGCACCAGGGGATCTGTAGCCTTCTGCCAGCAACAGATGCCAAGATTCCATTCACCAAACAGGAAGTAAGGTACACACTTCACATGTGACAATATTTTGTATAAAAGTGGTAGCTGACCTCCTTATTCTGAGAAAGCAGAGCTAAACAGTAACCAGCTTATAATTTGCATAAACCTAAGTCTGCACTCAGGCTCCCACACAGTTTAGGGTGGAGTTAGCTCACACCCAGGATAGAAATCTGAATTCCTGTTAAGGTTGGACTGATTGCCCTTTCCAGGAAATTCTCTGCATTCTGAGAGTATGTTGGGAGAAGGTATTCCAAATTCTCAGTCCTTTCGCGTTTCACAGCTTGAATTTTCGGGCTCTAGCAGTATATGACTTTGGATAAATATGTCTATTACGTCCTCTGAGCCTCAGGACAAATGAGAAATACAGGACCTGCCCCATGGTTCCTTGAGGATTGAATGAGAAAACCATATGAAGGATTGAGGAACAGGCTCTGTGTTTGCTACTGTCTGGTCCTACTAACAGCGTTCACTGTAGCAAGTGCTTAAGGTTTTTGTCCTAACACCTGTAGAATGTAGGTGATGTTGAAGGCTTTTTGATGGTTTTATTTACTTATGTTGATGCTGGAGATTGAACGCAGGCTTCATGCATGCTGAGCCACGTGCTCTGCCATCGAGCTACACACACAAACCCAAAGTAACATTTTTTTGTTGTTTGATCATGAACTCAGGGCCTAGGTGCCATTCCTGAGCTCTTTTTGTTTTGAGCCACAGCTCCACTACTGGTGTTTGAGTGGTTAATTGGAAGTAAAAGACTGTCACACAGCCTTTCTTGCCTGGGCAGCTTTCAGTCATGATCCTCAGATCTCTGCCTCCTGAGTAGCTAGGATTATAGGTGTGAGCCACTGGAGCCTGGCCCAAAGTAACTTTTTTTTGTTGTTGTTGTTGGTTGTGGGGCTTGAACTCTGGTCCTGGGCACTGTCCCTGAGCTCTTCAGCTCAAGTTGAGCTGGAGCTGTCTGCCATTGAGCCACATTGCCACTTCTGGTTTTCTGGTGGTTAATTGGAGATGAGTCTCATGGACTTTCCGGGCTGGCTTTGAACTGCAGTCCTCAGATCTTAGCCTCCTGAGTAGCTAGGATTACAGGCTTGGTGAGCCATGGGCTCCCAGCGTCAAAGTAACTTTTTATCACCTCTACTAAAGGTGATAGGTTTAAAAAAAAAAAAAGAAAGAAATTGACCTGTGGCAACCACTAGATGGCAGGTGTGCAGAGATTAATTGCTATCTGGTTTTGGGAAAACTTCTGATTGCACAAGTCTACTGTAGGAAAGTGAAACTCACTGAAGGCTGAGATCTGAGGATTGCAGTTCAGAGAAGCAGAGCTCGAGGCCCTGAGTTCAAGCCCTAATTCTAGTGCATGCACATATGCAGTGCCTTCTTTTATCTGCAAGTTATAAACTTTAATATGTTAATTCTCAGATATTTTTTAAAAAGTCTTCATTCCTGCTGAGCTTACAAACACAGAGACAACTGTGTATTGTAATGTTTTGAAAGCAGAGAGAGGGAGATGCCACCATGACTGCATTTTTCACCTACAAGAGATGTTTCCAGGCTCCAAGTTGGGGTCGTTTACTATAGGAATGCTCCTGCCCAGGCACACCACAAGACCTGCTGGCCTAACTCTCGGTGTGCGCGCAGGGCGCAGAGCACCCTTAAGCTCCTTCAGCTCTCCTCTCCATCCCTTCTAGGCTAAACCGGAGCATTCACCAATGGTCTCTTATGCACGCTTCTGCCGTGAGACTGTAAACGCCTCACGGACGAACATCGTTGTCATCTTCGTGGTGGTGCTGGGGCTTGAGCTCGATTCGTTCGGCCGGGCGCCCGGCCCTAATCACACGTGGCCACTCTCTCCTCCGTCCTCGTGTCGTCTCGCCCGGCTTCGGAGCAGGCAGCCCACGGTGCCCCGCCTCAGCTCGCCGGCACGCAGCCCCGCCACACCCAGGGCCCCTGTGCGGCCTGCCCTGGGACCGTGCGGGAGGGAGGGCGCCAGGCCAGGAGCCGGGCCAGCAGCCGGGCCAGCGCGGGGCCTCCGCGGGCCGTCCGGCCCGGACCTAGCTTTCTCTCTGCGCCCGCCCACCCGCGCGCCCCGCCTCTCTCGCGAGAGAGTGCGCGCGCACCGTCCTGGCGTCATCGCGTGCTTCCGCGGGGGAGGAGGGGTCGGGGTGAGCGGGAACCGGACGTGGCGGGGCGGGGCGGGGCGGGGCGGGGCGGGGCGGGGTGGGGTGGGGTAGAGGGCGCCCGACCCGCGTGCAGTGCGCCCCGGTCGGCCTCACTCCGCTGGTAGATGACGCCAGCGCCCGAGCCGGGGGCGGGGCTTCTTGGAGGCGTGGCCTCTGGTGGGCGGGGCGCCACACCTGAGCAGGCTGCGCTTGCGCGGCAGGGCCGCGGGGCGGTGGCTGCGGGCCTGGCGCGGCGGGGCACCCTGCGGGCCCTGCGTGCCGACCGCCGTGGCGTAGTCCCCGCCTCTCTCCGCTCCCCGCGCCTGTGTGGGCCGGGCCGGGAGGATGGCCGCGGAGATGGAGTCGTCGCTGGAGACCAGCTTCTCGTCCAGCTGCGTGGTGTCCGGGGCCTCCGGGCTCCTGCCGCCCGCGCGCTCACGCATCTTCAAGATCATCGTGATCGGAGACTCCAACGTGGGCAAGACGTGCCTGACCTACCGCTTCTGCGCCGGCCGCTTCCCAGACCGCACCGAGGCCACGATCGGTGTGGACTTCCGAGAACGGGCGGTGGAGATCGACGGGGAGCGCATCAAGGTGAGCCGACGGGGGCTGGGCTTGGCCGGATGTCCAGGGAATGTCCGATGGTGTGTGTGGGGGGCTGTCCCGACGGAGGGGACAGTCGGCTGGAGGAAGAACCCCCTCCCACCCCCGGCAGGACACCGCCGCGGGCTCCCTTCTGGCCCTGAGCGGGGCATGGGCCTGGGCAACTTGTTAGTGTTCCCCCAACTTTCATGGACGTGAACTCTCCCTGGGACGGTGCAGATGGTGCAGGTAAGCGGGGAGCGGAGCGCGGCCAGGGGCCACCCGGCAGAACGCCTCCAGTGAGTGTCCCCAGCGATCTTCCCTTCGGCCCAGCGAAAGCCTGGTGCTCCCCGGGGAGCACCTTGCGTGGCTGTGCATTTCATTGGCGTGCTCGGAAAAAATGTTTCCCACCAAAGCATTTCCTGCATGATGAGTTCTAACCGGGTTGTCAAAAGCCTCTTCCTTTCCTTTTCCTTTTCTTTTTTGTGCCGGTCCTGGGACTTGAACTCAGTACCTGAGCACTGTCCTCTAGCTTTTTGACTACCACTAGAGCCACACCTCCACTTCCAGTTTTTTGGTGGTTAGTTGGAGATAAGAGTCTCACTGTGGGGGCTGACTTAGAACCGGGACTCTCAGCCTTCTGAGAGCACAGATCCTGTACTAGTTCCTTCATTCCTTAGTCTTACTGGTGGGTTCTCAGCGTGAACACTGACAAATAGCTGGGACAGTAGGTGGCCAGAGCAGGGGTGCTGAGCACTTGGAGGTTGGAAGGGGGGCCTTGCAGAAGGGAAATCTTAAGCTTCAAGTCTTAGAAGCTTCAGCTGCCTCCAGGTATCACTTCTTAAACTTGAGCCTGGCCTGCTGTTGATCTTTACCACCACCTGCTCGAGGGCAGGGATGGGTGAGAAAGGCCCTACCCTTAAGTCCTTCTGTCCCTATCACTGCCTGAGTATGTAGTAAAGTGCTTGCCTAACATTCATGAAGCCCTGGGTTCATTTCCTTGGTACCACATATACAGAAAAGGTGGGAAGTGGTGCTGTGGCTCATGTTGTAAAATACTAGCCTTGAGCACAAAGTGGCTCAGGGACCGTGCCCAGGCCCTGAGTTCAAGCCCCAAGACTGGCAAAAAAAAAAAAATCTGTCCCACCTAGAGCCTTTCTTTGCTTGTCAATTTTATGCTTTAATTTTTCCGTGGTTCAAGCTTCCTGTCCTTGTTCCCTGGGAGCACTGTATTAGGAAGTTAAGAGAGATTTGTAGAGTTAGCTGTGTAGCTCAGGGGTAGAGGGTATACCTTAGCATGCACGAGGCCCTGGGCTTGATCTCCAGCAGCAAAAAATGGGGTGTGGGGGGGAGTTATATAGATATGGATTTGTATACACTGCAGGGGTAAAAGTAGAATAAGAGCAGGCTGAACTTTTTTTTTTTTTTTTTTGTCAGTCTCTTGAACTCAAGGCCTAGGCACTGTCCCTGAGCTCTTTTAGTTCAAGGCCAGCACTCTACCACTTTGAGCCAAAGTACCTCTTTCTGTTTTCTGGTGGTTAGTTTGAAATAAGAGTCTCACAGACTTTCCTGCCTGGGCTGGCTTTGAACTGGGATTCTCAGGTCTCAGCCTCTTGAGTAGCTAGGATTACAAGCGTCTACCACCAGCACCTAGCAGGCTAAACGTTTTATAAACATCAAAATTAGGTTATGCCCAGAGGCTTGGGAGGGAGAAAGATAAAGGGGCCTCTGAGGTTTGAAAGTTTAGCCTGGGATGAGCAGGAGTTCTGGGGGGAAATGAACAGACTTTGGAGCGCCGCTGACCCAGGTTCACATGTGAACTTGTGAAGGTCTAAGGGCAGGGCTGTGTTTGCGCCTGTTCCCCATGTTCATGGGTTGGAACTTCATCCCTCACTTCGTATGTTAATGCGTGTGGGGGTAGGGTCTTGGGAGCGATTGGATCTTGAGGTTTTATCCTCACAGAAGGGTTAATTCACTTGTAGATTGATTTAACTCATCCTTGGATTAGTGGGTCACCATAACGTGGCCTTTCCTCGTGACACCCTCTGCCATGGTAGGCTGCAGCAAGTGTCTATCTATCACATGCTGAGCAAAGCTGATTCCACGCCTCCAGAACTGTTAGCCAAACAAACCTCCATTGCTTCTAAGTCACTGTGTCTTAGGAGGTGTTCGGCTGTAGTAGCAGAACACACTGAGAACCTCAGTTTTGTCTGAGACTATACAGGTTTCAAGCCAGAGACCCTGGGGTGGTTGAGCACCCTGACTTTCTCACACCCGCAGAGGCTGTTTGTTGTTCTGAAATTTTGGGAGTGTAGTCCCTTACCTGTCAGGTTGGTAGAATTAGATAGGAATGTATGTGTGTACTTGGTACCCTTAAAAAGTCTGTTTGCTTTTCCTGATGGCTGTAACATTGTTTTTGTCCTCATCACTGTTGGTCTTGAGCTGTGTGCCCCAAGAACAAAACAGACATAGAGGAGGGCTTGAGTAGAAAATGAAGTGAAGGAAACTCCCAGTACAGCAGGAGTGGGAAGTGGACCACAGGTGAATCACGTGCAGTCTTAAGAGATTGTCATGTTGAAGGACAGCATACCACTGTCCAGTGTGCAAAGCCAGATGCGTGACTCTGGTGAGGGCTGGAGGGGTCAGTGACCACAGCCACAGGGTGGGGATCTGAGGACTCTGGGTGGATTCTGCTGGTTCAGAAAAATAGAAATTACAGCCCACGCCTGTAATCCTAGCTACTCAGGAGGCTGAGATCTGAGGATCACGGTTGGAAGACTAGCCCAGGCAAAAAAGTCCCTGTGAGACTCTTTTTTTTTTTTTTTTTGTCGGTCGTGGGGCTTGAACTCTGGGCCTGGGCGCTGTCCCTCAGCTCTTCAGCTCAAGGCGAGCGCTCTACCACTTGAGCTACAGTGCCACTTCCGGTTTTCTGGTGGTTTATTGGAGATAGGAGTCTCACGGTCTCTCCTGCCCGGGCTGGCTTTGAACCGCGATCCTCAGATCTCAGCCTCCTGAGTAGCTAGGATTACAGGCGTGAGCCACCAGCGCCCGGCTCCTGTGAGACTCTTATCTCCAATTAACCACTCAAAAACTGGAAGTGGCACTATGGCTCAATTGGTGGAGCGCTAGCTTTGAGCACAAAGAGGCCCAGGGATGGTGCCCAGGCCCTGAGTTCAAGCCTTACAACTGACAAAAACAACAACAACCACAACCACAACCACAACCCCAAACCAGAAAGCCTTTGTTCTGGGCTCCTTCCTCCTGTATTGGAGTCTCCATTGTCCTGAGACCCTGTCCTCCGCACGTTCTCCCCTGTCTTATGCCTCTCTGGCTTGAGATTTTTGTGGTTGAAACTATAGAAATATTCTCAGACTTCTGGATTAGAAAATACAACTGTGGGGGCTGGGAAGGTGGCTCAGTGGTAGAGCGCTTGCCTTGCATGCCTGAGGCCCTGGGTTCGATTCCCAGCACCACATAAGCAAAAAGAAAAAAAGCCGGAAGTGTTGCTGTGGCTCAAGTGGTGAGTGCTAGCCTTGAGCTGAAGAGCTGAGGGACAGCACCCAGGCCCGGAGTTCAGGCCCCACAACCGGACCCAAAAAAAAAAACAAAACAAAAAAAAAAAAGGAAAGAAAATACAACTGTGTTAGAAATGTAAAAGAAGAGGGCTGGGAAGGTGGCTCAGTCAGTGCTTTCCTTGCATGCGTGAAGCTCTGGGTTCGATTCACCAGCACCACATAAGCAGAAAAAGTCAGAAGTGGCACTGTGGCTCAAGAGGTAGAGCGCTAGCCTTGAGCTGAAGAGCTGAGGGTCAGCCCCCAGACTCAGAGTTCAGGCCCCATGACTGACAAAAAAAAAAAAGGAAATTTAAAAGAAGAAATTCTAAGCCCAGCCATGGTGGCTCATGCTTGTAATCCTAGCTACTCAAGCTAAGATCTTAGGATCTTGGTTCAAAGCCAGCCCGGGCAGCAAAGTCCGGGAGACTCTTATCTCCAATAAACCACTCGAAAATGGAAATGGTGTTGTGGCTCAAGCGGTAGAGCACTCGCCTTGAGCTGAAGAGCACAGGGACAGCGCCCAAGCCCAGAGTTCAAGCCCCACGACCGACAAAAAGAAGAAATTCTAAACTTTGTCTTCCTTTTATTGGCAATACTTGGGTTTAATTCAGAGCCTTGTGCTTTTTACTCAAGTGCTTTGCCACTTGAGCCATGCCCCCAGCCAGAAACCTTTAGTGTCTTTTTTTTTTCTTGTCAGTCAGCCTCCTGAGTAGCTGGGATGACAGTCCTGAGCCACGGGGACCTGGCTTGTCTTTTTGTGACTAGAAATGATATGAAAGAGCTTGTTTCCACTGCCGCTAACTTGCCATACAGCTTGTGTACTGTTGAACTGTTCCTGTCCTTTGGCATTATTCCTGTGGAAAGCTCAGAGCCTCATCTGAAAGTGACATTTCTGACAGTTTTTTGTCTTAAAGCTGGAAAACTGTGCATTATTAATAAAGTAATGTTCTAAGTCAGGCCTTGTAATACCAGCACTTAAGAGGTGGTGACAGGCCGAGCATGAGGCCTGGCCAGCTTGGACTGCATGGAAAGACCCTATCTCAAAACAAACCCCTTCCCTGAAAACATGCTAGACATGCTAGACATTATTGTGTCGTACTTGTGAAACTAGACATTCCTGAAACCCTGATTACAGTACTGTCTGTAGGACTAGTTAAAATTTCAGGACATGCTTCCTGAAATGTGAGAAGTCAGTGCTTGCTAATCTATTTTAAGTGCTATGTATGTATCACTGCAAGGAAAATCTGGTGTGCAGGAATTTGGAAATGGAATAGAATTATAAATTTGACTTTGAAATTGAATCTCCTGGCTTTGGTCCCTATGCTTTTTCCTTGCACGTCCAGCGTGTTGCACACCCACCGGCATGCTCAATGGCTACCAGTCAGCTTCAGCTCAAACATCTCCAAAGCTCACTTGCTTATATAGCGAGAAGTGAAGTTTTACCCTATTAAATCTAAGGTGTTAATTAAGGGAAAGTAATAGCTCTCCCCCTTCTTGTATGGCCTCCCTGAAGCTCCTTCTCTCCAGATCTTCAGAGCAGACACATTTGACTAACTGAAACATAGAAAATCTAGGTGAAACTGCTTCTGGTCCTGTGTTACTGTGATTATGAGGTCATGATCACGCTCCTGAGGTGCAGATTCGTGGATAGAGCTGCAGAGGCAGTGTGGAAGAGCAGCCCCGGTGTCCTCCCGGGGAGAAGTACTGCAGACCATGCAGGGGTGCGTAAGTCGCTCTGTGTGTGATGGAATGACATTCTCAGTTTTCTGTTCACCTTCAGATCCAGCTATGGGACACGGCAGGACAGGAGCGCTTCCGGAAGAGCATGGTGCAGCATTACTATCGGAATGTGCATGCTGTGGTCTTCGTGTATGACATGACCAACATGGCCAGCTTCCACAGCCTGCCCCTGTGGATCGAGGAGTGCAAACAACACCTACTGGCCAGCGACATACCCCGGGTCCTCGTCGGAAATAAATGTGACTTGGGAAGCGCCATTCAGGTGCCTACGGACGTGGCACAAAAGTTTGCTGATACCCACAGTATGCCTTTGTTTGAAACGTCTGCCAAAAACCCCAATGACAACGACCACGTGGAAGCGATATTTATGACGTTGGCACATAAGCTGAAGAGCCACAAGCCCCTCATGCTTAGCCAGCCCCCCGAGAATGGAGTTGTCTTGAAGCCCGAAGCAAAGCCGTCTGTGACGTGTTGGTGCTAGGTGAAGGTCTTACATGGTCTTGTCTGGTCTAAAAGACATTGGAAGGTGGGCACTGATAAGTCATAAGATTTCATCTTAAACAGGGGGACCTGGCACTTTGCTGTCTATCATCTGCTTACTTTTGTATTTTGTAGTAAGTTTGTCTGGACAAGTGGAAAGTGAAGAGAGGCTGACTTGTGAGAGTGCGGAGGAGGAGGAGGAGGCTGGAGTGAGCGAGGGGGAACTGCCAGTCACTAACTTCTGTCCAAGGGGTGGACTGACCAAAGACACTGCTTAATACACACTTAGCTATCTGTCAGCCAGATTGAGAGGAAGGGGCTTTGCATTTCACTGTGGTTTCTAAAAAATAGATGCAAAGAATCTATGGTTGGGATTGGCAAATGTGGGTTTCTGGCAATCCTTTCTCTCCCCATCCACTCTGTTTACTATGGATGCAGTGCTGGACTATGTCAGTTTTCGTGTAGTAGCTCCAAGGGCCCACCAACTCTACTTGTGACCCCCCTATGCACTTCTGTATTATCCACTTTTTTTTTGGTGGTGGTAGTACTGGGACTTGAACTCAGGACCTCATTCCTGCTTAGCAGGTGCTCTAACACTTCAGCTATGTCCTTGCTCCTTTTTGCTTTACATTTTCATTTTTGCCTGGGCTGGCCTCAGACCAAATGCTTCTCACATAGCTGAGTGCCACCATACCTGGATTATGTTGTTAAGATGAGGGTCTCACTATCTTTGAGAAGACCTGGTTGCCTTGTACTTCAACCATCAACCTGCTCCCCAAGTAGGTGGATTATAGGTATGAGCCTCTGTGCTCAGCTTCAGTTTTTATGATGTATATACATTTTATAATCAAACAGACTATTCCTGTATAAATTAGCTACTGAAAAAATACCTTGTATTTCCCTCAGTGATTCAAAGACTGTTTTAATTCTAACTCCTTAGAAGGCTGTGACCTGAGGGTCAGAGTTCAAAGACACCCTGGGCAGGGAAAGCCCATTAAACTCTTATCTACAGTTAACCAGCAAAAAGCGAGAATTGGAGGTGCGGCTCAAGTGGTAAAGTGCCAGCCTTGAGTGAAAAGCTGGAGAACACCCAGGCCCTGAGTTCAAGTCTCAATACTGGCACACAAAAAAATTAGGCCCTAGACTTTGCACAAAAATTGTGTACATGGGATGTCAAGCCACACACTTTAACGGAAGTTGACATGTTTTCTGGTGCTGGATATTTTTAAGAAAATGAGGCTAAAAGATGCGTGTTTTCAATATTTTCAGGCTGTAGAAAGATGAACTGAACACGTAATCTAATCTAGTTTTCGTTTAATCAATAAGGTGGTCCTACCTGGATAATTTAGTTCTAAAACCAAGGTAATTCTATTAAATGAGCTAACTAAAAGTAATAGTTGCAAAAAAGTATGCAGTTTGAACTATTAGAGCTCAAATTTGCTTTGTTTGCGCAAACAAACAAATTTAATTTTTCTTAAGTATGCTAGAATATAAAGATTAGAAATTGTTTTACTTTAAATTAATGTGAATTTGTAACTATTTTTATAATACAATGAGACAGCTTAGTAATTGATGGTGTCCTCGGTTAAAGAAGGGAGTCTATTCATTGCTTTTTAAAGCATTTTCTAAAATAAGGGAAAGTTTATAGACTCCAAGATCATCTATGAATTTTAGTACAGCTATGATTTTCTAAAAGCAGCAATTTAGCTATTTCTTTGGGTTTGAACTTACTTATCCTTTACAGGTCTGTGAGAGGACTTATTTTTTCACTTTAGTATTTATTTAAAAATATTTGTATCTCATTTGCAACAATTTTCCACTTTACTATTTAGTGTGTATGTTTTTAATTTTTAAAAGATACTTATCAGATGAGGGGGAATAAAGCTTTTAGGTAGATTCTGGATGTTTATAAACCTTTAATCTACTGTTGAAACCACTTTCAAATTGGTGGTTATCTAACAGCTAATTAATTAGTTTTTAAGTGTAAGTCACACATTTTGTAAATCTGTGAATTTAACTATGAGCTTTAATCAGATATGTTTCAGAAAAAAAAAAAAATCTAAATTTGCAACCCCAGAAGGAAAGTGTGAGGGCTAACAGAGCCAGTGCGTCCCAAGCGTCCCCTCTGCCACGTGTCCTCAGGCAGCCCCAGCTAAGCTGGAACCGTGCTCCCGTCCCGCCCCTATGAAGAAATAAGTCATCTGTGCTACCAAGAAACACTGTTTGGTTTTCTTTGTTAATGGGTTGATAGAAAAAAAAAATCCCTCCTTCCTGGTTCCCAGGTAACATATACGAGTTGAGAGTCCTTAAAACCCCAAATCTGAAACTAAAATTTCTGGATTTGGGATTAGGGATGCACAACCAGTAAAGTCTATGCAGATAGTGGGGTGGGGGGCGGGGGAGCAAAAAAGCAAGGTGCTGGTGGCTCACACCTAGCTATTCAGGCGTCTGAGACCTGAGAATCTTGGTTCAAAGCCAGCCTGGGCAGGAAAGTCTGTGAGATTCTTACCTCCACCTAACCACCATAAAGCCAGAAGTGGAGCTGTCTCAAGTGGTGGAGTGCTAGCCTTGCACAAAAAGGCTCAGGGACCGTGCCTAGACTCTGAGGGCAAGAGCAGGCCTGGCACACGCATACACTCACACACGCACACACCAATCCCCCAGTCCAGTGCAGCCTGCGAGTGTGGGTGGAGGGCATCTAGGCAAGGGGAGGGCAGTCTCCTGTTGGTGAGCGGAAGGCATCTGAGCACCTTTGAGGCCAGGGACTTGAGTTGGGGTGGCTCTTCAACTAAAGTAGAGGGGCCGGACACTGAAAGAAGCTAGCAAGGTAGGTTGTGTCTCAGCTTAGGTTTCAGCTCAGCGTAAACCCGGTCTGTCTCCTTAGACTCCAAGAGCTGGAGTGGAGCAGTGCGTTTCCCCAACCCGGGCCTAGCTTAGCTTCTCTGCATATCTTGTCTGTCTTACCATTGTTGTGCTTCACTTTTTAGAAAACCAGCCACTGCCGTCTGCTTCTGAACTTTCAGATCTGCAGCTCTCCAGAGAGGCTAGCATTGTATGGCCTGAGCCATAGGTCCACTTCCCATTTTTGAGTGGTTTATTGGAGATAAGAGTTTCATGGGGACTTTTCTGCCCGGGCTGGCTTCACACCATGATCCTCAGATCTCAGTCCCAAGATGCAGCATCTAGGATGAACATACCTGGCTTGGCAGCTGTCAAATGCCCGCCCAGACCCAACAGCCAGAAAGGTTAACCAGGTAGTCTCCAAATTTGGGGGAGAAGTAGTTTTGGAGAAAGGGAGCAGAAAACAAGATAGCTGCTCTAGCCCTCGCTATTAGATGAGTATTAACAAGACTGATTCTGCAAGAAGTACCAGCCGTGGGCTGTGGGAGGCTGTGGGAATGGTCTTGGAGACAGCTAGCTGTAATAGCCCGGAAGAGAAAGCTTGAGCTGTGACACTATGATACAGATTTGGGATTTTGCAGAGTTAAAATCCCAACTGAAGGCATCGCTTAGCGTGAGCACCTGCTTAGCGTGCATAGGCACACTGGATTTGATGTCTATCACGTGTGTACACACACACACACAGCCTCAGGAGTTGAAGATAGATTGAATATAAAGGGATGGGCAAATGGAATAATCCCATGATCTAGTTCTCTGTCTCTCTCTCTCTCTCTGCTATATTGGGGCTTGAACTCGGGGTGTGGGTCTGTCCCTAAGCATGTGTCTTCTGAAAAGTCACATAAAAGTAAAAGAAAAGACTCTGCTTTTAACTTCTTTGCTAAGCTTATCAAAGCAGCACAGCATTTCTTCATTAATGAAGACAACAAAGGTTGTTGGGGTAACACCTGCCTGTAATCCCAGAGTTTGGGAAGCTGTAAAGCAAGAGAATTGAAAGTAGAGGCCAGCCAGAACCTCCTAGTATCTCAAAGTAAATTTTAAAAATAATAAAAAGATAATGAACTTAAAATGTAGATTTGCTTAATTTATTTACACTGGTACCAAGGCTAGAAATCTGAGTTTCAGTCTTGCATGGCTTGCTTGTTCACGGCTGGCACTCTTATTACCTGAGCCATACTAATGAACAGAATGAACACCCTAGCTTGTGTGTGTGTGTGTGTATGTTGGTCATGAGGCTTGAACTCAGGGCCTGGGTGCTATCCATGAGTTGCTTTGTGCTCAAGACTAGTGTTCTACCACTTGAGCCATACGTAGTGCCACTTCCCATTTTGGGGGACTTTTCTGCTTGGGCTGGCTTTGAACTGTGATCCTCAGATCTCAGCCTCCTGAGTAGCTAGGATGACAGTGTGAGCCACTGGCACCTGGCCTTTTTTTTTTTTTTTTCTTTTTCTTTTTTTGTTGAGGGATCGAACCCAGGGCCTCATGCATGCTATGTAAACACACTGCCACTAAGCCACATTCCCAGCTCCCAGCCTAGCTTTGTTGCTGGTTATTTTGTAGGTTGTTAAGCTGCAGTTGCTTTTTGTCTCAGAACTCGCTAAGGCTTCTCAAGATGGCGGCTCTGTGATATGTGTGCACACTGGGTGTCCTAGTTCCTCCTGTCCAGCCTCTCAAGCAGATGTCACTTCTTTCCTGTTCCCTCCGCTACTGATAAGGTTTGCAGTTTGTGTGCTTTTCCTAAAGCTGGATTTGTTGATATCTTGGGATTGTCTGATTTTCCCTGGTGTAAATCAGTCAGAAACCCAGTGTTGTCACAAGAAGTGGAGAACATGATGGCCCCAAGACTAAGGAGCTGTCCAGACCTGATTCTGTCTTTCTCCCTGCCAGGCAGGGACTTGCTTCCTGAATAGAGACTTAGAACAGGGTTTTCATCCATCTAAATGTAATGGCATCTCCATTTCACAGTGGGGATGAGATGCAAGCAGGCCCAAGACTTTCTAGGAAGGCACTTTCTTAAAATTATGACACGAATGCTTGCTTTTGTGACTCTCCTTTCATAAGTTGATAGCTAATCATCTGTGGAGTTTAAACTTTTTTTTCTTTTTGTTGGTCATAGAGCTTGAACACTGTCCCTGAGCACTTTTGCTCAAGGCTAGCATTCTACCACTTTAAGCCGCAGCACTGTATCAGGTTTTCTGTTGGGTAATTGGAGATAGGAGTCTCATGGACTTTCCTGCCCAGGCTGGCTTCAAACCCTGATCCTCAGATCTCAGCTTCCAGAGTAGCTAGGATTATAGGCACAAGCCACCAGTGTCAGGCTATTTTTCTAAATTCTTTATTGCAGAGGCTTGAAAACAGGAAAGCAGTGTAAGATAATGAACACTTGGTTCCCATCAACCAGCGTCTACTATATGACAACCACTTCCCCCACTTCCAGCATTATTTTGAAGACAATTCCACACATCCTGATGGCCTGTAAAGATATTTTACCTTATCTAGTCCTACTGGTTTCTATGTGTTTGTTGTTATTCTTGTTCTCTGTTGACTTTAGCTATTTCAGCTCCCAGATTAAAATGGCTTCCTGAGCAGTTTTAACTTCTTGGGGAATCTCCGTCACGTTTTGACAGCAATTAGCATTATCACCAGGCAGAGCCCTTCCTACTTATTTTACCTTTTTTTTTTTTTTTTGCCAATGGGGATTGAACTTGGACTGGGAGCTGTCCTTCAGCTCTTCAGCTCGAGGCTAGCGCTCTGCCACTTGAGCCACAGCACCGCTTCAGGTTTTGTTTATTGGCAATAACAGTCTCACAAACTTTCCTTCCCCGGGCTAGCTCTGAACCAAGATCCTCAAGTCTCAGCCTCCTGAGTAGCTAGGATTATAGGCATGAGCCACCATGCCTGGCTACCTTTTTTTAATTACCTGGGACATCATTGCAAAGCAAACCCATCCAGCCAGGAGCTCAGTGCAGACATCATGGTCTCTGGGGGAGTTGTCAAGAATCAGACCAAGCAGACTCCCCAGTGCAGGGTGAGGGGAAAAGGACCCACAGACATTGCTTACTAGAATGTAAATGCCTGGAGTTGCCATGGAAAAGCCTAATGGAGGTCCTTAAAAAAACCAAACATCAGGGTGTGAAAGAGTGTGTGTGTAAACGTGTGGAGACTGA